CCTGCTGTGAGTAAAAGGTAATACAGTTGTACATAATGTTCAGTTTGGTGCACAGAGTGATCGTTTGGGAGCCGCGCACAAAGTATAAACAGCACTTAGCAGTGAAAATGAAACTGAAAGCGTGCACTTCATTTAAATAATCATATCGGATTTTAGAATTATGACTGCGACAAGCATTTGATATGTTTTTTCTTTCATAGCGAAGACACAGTTGTGCATGAAAATAAATGTTTACAGTGTCAGTATAACTACTCTAGCCTATATAATGTTGATTTTACCAGTGAATTAAATGGTCTAATAATGTTGTCAGTTATTGCAAGCATATATCTCAAACATTATTCAACATCAGAATTATTTTATAAGTGGAATAAAATTGTTTATAGAAACCAGTACACCTACACATAATATTAATATTGTTGCTTTACCATATGTTTGAGAAAAAACAATAACAATTGCCGACTCGTATTAAACTTTATTTTACATCTACAGAATTGCGATCTTGATTTTAAGCAAAAAAAAATACAAAATCGTAATTCTCATTTTAGTCAGAATTGTGCAGCTCTACTCTGAAATCTCACAGCTGCTGGTAGCCCATGTACAAACTGGGAAACACATAAAATCCTACACTTTAAAATAAACACACATGTGAAGTGAATAAAGATAAATTCCACATTTCAAATGAACACATTTGTACTTCAGTAAACATAAATAAACCATCTTAATTATCTCGGTGCGAGACCTACATCTGTAACGCGGATCGAGTGCTTTTATGAGATGACAAACGCCCACATCTCCAACCACCGAAAACATCTGCAAATCTTTGGCAATAAACAGCCGCACTGCCTTTGTTATTTTAAGCGTCTCTCGGAACCAGTTGGGTATGTTTGCATTGAAAGATTCAGCGAGGGATTGTTGCTATTTGGAGGACTTTATTCTGCCTTTAGACCGTGATATCGCTGGTACTCCAGGGTTCGTTTTAAAGCGCACAGCAGGGGTCACCACCCTTTATGAAACTGAGAGCTACTTCTTGCGTACCGATGAATGTGGAGGGCTACCAGTTTGATAAACACTTCTCAAATAACAAATTTGCTCAATTTACTTTTAATTATACTTTATATTTTTGGTAATAATTAATAATATTCATCCATGTGAAGACACTGATCATGTTAATGATCTCACAAAAGTTATCAACAAAGATTTAACAGGGTAGGAAATACCCTGTATCTAATATATCAATGTGCAACACTTTATTTTTATATATCTCTGCAAATATTTACATTTTTAAATGATTGGTTCTATATTAGATGAAGCTTACTGGTAAAGTGGCGCTATGGTGAGCTATTTTTTTAGAACAGGCCAGTGGGCAACATTTGAGATCCTCGCGGGCTACCTGGTGCCCGCGCGCAACATGTTGGTGACCCCTGGCATACAGAGACCACCTCTTCGAGCAGGTCCCGGTACGCTTTTTTGGTCCACTTTTGGTGCAGACTCGAGTACGATTGCTGCATTCACACCTGCCCAAACGAACCGCACCAAGAGGGAAAACGAACCCTAGTGCGATTCAACCGAACTAAATGAGGCAGGTGTGAAAGCACCCTAAACTAATGAGGGAGAGATGGTCACTAATGGCCGAGGCTTTCCCCATTTGACGACACGTTCAAACTGAGAATTGAGTCTCTCTTTTATTTAAATAAAGTTTTGTTTTTGAAAAATATAAGGTTTATCTTTAACCTGCCATTCTAGAATCTCACATGCATCAAAAAAAGTCCTCATTCACTTAGTCTTCACTTTACTTTAGAGCAGGTCACCAAACTTGTTCCTGGAGGGCCGGTGTCAAGCAGATTTTAGCTCCAACCCAAATCAAACACACCTGAACAAGCTAATCAAGGTCTTACTAGGTTTACTTGAAACATCCAGGAAGGTGTGTTGAGGCGAGTTGGTGCTAAACCCTGCAGGGACACCGGCCCTCCTGGACTAAGATTGGTGACCCCTGCTTTAGAGTCTTCAAAGTGACAACGTGAAGAGCATGGAGTCAAACAGCACCTGAAATTCCTCTCACACACCCACATGAAGCAGCATTGCCACACGTTTCCAACACCTGTACTGAACTGCACGCTTGAGCAACCTGTCCTTTATACAGCGACATCATGTCCCGTTTCTGGTTCACAGCATGTCTTTGGCTAGAATATGAATGCAAAGCAGACCAAAGCACACCAGAGCTGTGCAAACCAAACCTGCCAAGTGTAAACACACCCTATAATTCCCCACAACATACACATTTAGGCACATTTCTATGCTTGCAAAACATTTTGAAGTATCATTGTATGTCAAGATGACAGCACCACACACACAAAAAAACAACAACAAATTATATACTGTATGGTCAAGCCGAAATTATTCATATCCCCGGCAAACTCAGACTTATATGTTTGAAATATTTTTCCCAAAATGATGCATCTTGTACATCGCATTTGATATTTTTGTGGAGAACTTGCTAGTTCTCCACAACTAGCTAGAACTAGCTAGAACTTGCTAGAGACGGGTTGAGGCTGGAAGGGCATCCGCTGCGTAAAAACGTGCTGGATAAGTTGGCGGTTCATTCCGCTGTGTCGACCCCGAATTAATAAAGGGACTAAGCCGACAAGAAAATTAATGAATAAACTTGCAAGTTTAAATATAATTACAAATTTGCCAGGGGTATCACCAATTTCAGGCTTGACAATGCTGAAAACATGGCACACGCAAAAAAAAAAAAAAAAAGTCACTATTAATTTTTTCCATGGCTGTATATACTAGTAAAGCCACCCAAATACCATAGTTTATGAATGATTACTGTGATTTAGCACCACTTCGTCACCACCTGACAGGTTTTAAATGCGCACATTCGTTCTGTGATAACTGATATGCTCCCTATACTGATATACCACAGGTCTGAATTTGCATGCAAGACTTCAAAACAACATTAGCACTGTTTAATTGACTCAACAATGTTGTACTTTAGCAATTGTAGCAATTAAGATAATTTCCCCAACAAGAATTAGCATAGCACACTTTCCTAAAATCATATAATTAAGGAGAAAGTGTGAATGTGCGAATATAAAGCCAACTTCACCCTTTAATATGTTTAACTCACATCAATAAAACACACGTTTATTTCCCTTATTTAAAATAAAACCAATATAGAATATAAAACTGAGTTTTTTTTTAAATCCCCCAAGTATGTACTTAGAGGTTTTGGAAACAAGTAGATGTTTGGTATACTATAAACTTATATTCTCTGAGAATTTATATAGCATTTTTTTACTGCAAATGTCACATCTATGATGCTGCAATTGCTCAAAATTATTGCTCAAGAGTCAAGACAAACAAAATTTGGAAAATTAGTACTGCACTACCGTTTATTAATGTTGTCCTCGAACTATTAAACAGCCCTACAATAGTTTTAGGACAATTTAGAAACAAAAATGATCCACTTCAAATGTTGCCAGCTAAAAAACCGAGATCAAGTTAGGTTTTAAATTCGCACATTTGTTCAGTGACGACTTCAAAATAACATTAGCACTATTTAATTGACTCAACAATGTTGTACTTTTGACAGTCATTGGCTGATAATATGATTTCTCCAATTAGAATTTGCATAGGACACTTTGCATAGACAATATAAACATATATTTAATATACTGTTCATATAGACATTCTCTGAGAATTTCTGCTTCAATCTTTTAGTGCAAATGTGACATCCATAACGCTGGAACTGCTTAAAACTGCTGATCAAGACAACCAAAATTGGGAAAACCTGGAAAATGCGGTAATACTGGTTATCAATGTTGTCCTCTTAAACCCTATTATAATAGGACAATTTAAAAACGAAAATGATCCACTTCAAGTGTTTCCAGCTGAATGACTGAGGTAAAGTTGGTTTAAATGCAGAGATTTGTTCAGTGACGACTTGTGATATGCTCCCTATACTGTTATACCACACTACTTTGAATATTTAGTCTAAAATGGCATGCAAGTATACAACTTCAAACAATATTAGCACTATTTAATTGACTCAACAATGTTGTACTTTTGACAGTCATTGGCTGATAATATGATTTCTCCAATTAGAATTTGCATATGACACTTTGCATAGACAATATAAACATATATTTAATATACTGTTCATATAGACATTCTCTGGGAATTTCTGCTTCAAACTTTTAGTGCAAATATCACATCCATAACGCTGGAACTGCTCAAAACTGCTGATCAAGACAAACAAAAATTGGGAAAACCTGGAAAATGCTGTAATACTGGTTATCAATGTTGTCCTCTTAAACCCCATTATACTCTTAGGACAATTTAGAAATGAAAATGAGCCACTTCAAATGTTGCCAGCTGAATGACTGAGCTAAAGTTGGTTTAAATGCAGAGATTTGTTCAGTGACGACTTGTGATATGCTCCCTATACTGTTATACCCATGGTTATACCACGTTACTTTGAATATTTAGTCTAAAATGGCATGCAAGTATGACTTCAAAATAACATTAGCACTATTTAATTGACTCAACAATGTTGTACTTTTGACAGTCATTGGCTGATAATATGATTTCTCCAATTAGAATCTGCATAGGACATATACTGTTCACATAAACATTCTCTGTGAATTTCTGCTTCAAACTTTTAGTGCAAATATCACATCCATAAGGCTGGAACTGCTCAAAACTCCTAATCAAGACAAACAAAAATTGGGAAAACCTGGAAAATGCTGTAATACTGGTTATCAATGTAGTCCTCTTAAACCCCATTATACTCTTAGGACAATCTAGAAATGAAAATGATCCACTTCAAATGTTGACTACTTAATAAAAGTCGCAGTATTCATTTCTAAAGCCATTTTAAGTATTTAAAAAATCCAATCAAAAATGAATGACACAATCACTGTAGCCTACTTCATCTATCGGCCACTCTCGCTGAACTTTCCAGGACTCTACTACAGTAATGATCCAGCACTCACCGATGGACACGAGCTTGATGTTCTCCCGGTCCAGGAACTCGAGCGCCACGGACACGTTCTCCAGCTTCATCTGTCTGAAAGTGGGTCTGCTGTGGTATTTTCTGAACATCTTCTTCTGGCTCAGCACCTCCAGCAGCGCGATGAGCCGCAGTCCGTCGCTCAGGTCCTGCTGCAGGTCGGCCACGCGCTTGTTCGCGCTCTTCAGGTGCTCGTTACACCAGCGCGTAAACGTGTTCTGCTGGATCTTCTTCCACGGCGCGTCGTCCGCAAGATCCTTTTCTGTGGCCGGCATGATGATGGTGGTGGTGGTGGTGGTGGATACTCGGCTGCGGTGTATTTGATAACTTCGCCTGGGTCTTGCGTGTGTTTGCGTTCGTGCGCTGCTGACTGTGTGTGTGTTTTCTGAACTCTGTCTCGTGGACGCGCCTGCGCGCTCTTATATACGGCAAGCGCGTGACGACACCTGCGCATCAAGCCCAACCTGCGTTTCTTCCAATTACAGTTCTTTTGCTTTATATATATTTAGCTGAAGTCAGAATTATTAGCTCCCTGTTTACCCCCCCACCCCCACTTGTTTCTGTTAAACGGATATTTTTCAACACATTTCTAAAGATAATAGTTTTAATAACTCATTTCTAATAACTGATTTATTTTATCTTTGCCATGATGACAGCACCTAATATTTACAGTTTTGAAAATGAAAATTTTCACTCACCGGCCACTTTATTAGGTACACCTTACTAGTACCCAGTTGGAGCCCCTTTTGCCTTCAGAACTGCTTTAATCCTTCGTGGCAGAGATTTAACAAGGCACTGGAAATATTCCTCAGAGATTTTGCTCCATATTGTCATGATAGCATCACACAGTTGCTGCAGATTTGTCGGCTGCACGTCCATGATGCCAATCTCCCGTTCCACCACATCCCAAAGGTGCTCTATTGGATTGAGATCCGGTGACTGTGGAGGCCATTTGAGTACAGTAAACTCATTTTCATGTTCAAGAAACCAGCCTGAGATGATTCACGCTTTATGACATGGAGTGTTGTCCTGCTGGAAGTAGCCATCAGAAGATGGAGTAACTGTGCTCATAAAGGGATGGACATGGTCAGCAGCAATACTCGGGTAGGCTGTGGCATTGACACGATGCTGAATTGGTACTAATGAGCCCAAAGTGTACCAAGAAAATCTCCCCCACACCTTTACACCACCACCACCAGCAGCCTGAACCGCTGACACAAGGCAGGGTGGATCCATGATTTCATGTTGTTGATGCCAAATTCTGAACCGACCATCTGAATGTGTCAGCAGAAATGGAGACTCATCAGAGCAGGCAACGTTTCTCCAATCTACTATTGTCCAGTTTTGGTGAGCCTGTGTGAATTGTAGCCTCAGTTTCCTGTTCTTAGCTGACAGGAGCGGCACCCGGTGTGGTCTTCTGCTGCTGTAGCCCATTCGCCTCAAGGTTGGACGTGTTGTGTGTTCAGAGATGCTCTTCTGCAGAGCTCGGTTGTAACGAGTGCTTATTTGAGTTACTGTTGCCTTTCTATCAGCTGGAACCAGTCTGGCCATTCTCCTCTGACCTCTGGCATCGGCAAGGCATCCACAGAACTGCCGCTCACTATTTTCTCTTTTTTAGACCATTCTCTGTAAACCCTAGAGATGGTTGTGCGTGAAAATCCCAGTAGATCAGCAGTTTCTGAAATACTTAGATCAGCCCGTCTGGCACCAACAACCATGCCACGTTCAAAGTCACTTAAATCCCCTTTCTTCCCCATTCTGATGCTCGCTTTGAACTGCAGCAGATCCTCTTGATCATGTCTATATGACTAAATGCATTGAGTTGCTGCCATGTGATTGGCTGATTAGAAATTTGCATTAACAAGCAGTTGGGCAGGTGTACTTAATAAAGTGGCCGGTGAGTGCAGGTAGTTTTTTTTTTTGGTGTATTTAAACAAAGCACTTTTAATAACGAGTTATATCCATTAAAATAGAAGATTGGTCACTGAACGTCTTTAGAAATAGAAATTGGTTAAATAAATAAGTAAATAGATTTACTTGGGGGGGGCATGGTGGCTCAGAAATGCCAACTGACCCAGCTGGGACTCGAACCAGAGACCTTCTTCCTGTGAGGCCATAGTGCTAACAACTAAGCCACCGTGTCACCGATTATACTAATACCAATAATTAATTTTATTTGTAATGCATTTCTCTTAGACTCAAAGCGCTAGAATGAATTATATTTAGTAAATATAAGTTAGTCAATTCCTTGACTAACATTTACTAATGAAACCGTTTAGCAAAGTGTGACCTACACTAAAAAAATGCTGGGTTATTTTAACCCAATTCCCAGTGTAATACGTACTTAACCAATTGCTGGGTTAATTATTTGAATTCAATTTATTCATTCATTCCCTTTCCTTCGGCTTAGTCCATTTATTAATCAGAGGTCCACATTTTACCCAATTTGGGTTTAAATAACCCAGCATTTCTTAGACTGTATAAGTTATACTACAATACACCACATTTTAGGTGGCGCAGCGATTAGTACCGTCGCCTCACAACAAGAAGGTCGCTGTTTTGAGTCCCGGCTGGGTCAGTTAGCACTTCTGTGTGGAGTTTGCATGTTCTCCCCGTGTTGGCGTGGGTTTCCTACTCCTTTCCCCCACAGTCCAAACACATAAGGGAATTGGATGAACTAATTTGGCCGTATGAGTGTGTGTGTGTGTGTCAATGAGTGCGTATGGGTTATTCCCAGTACTGGGTTGCAGCTAGAAGGGCATCCGCTGTGTAAAAAAATATGCTGGAATAGTTGGTGGTTCATTCCACTGTGGCGACCCCTGCTGAATAAAGGGACTGAGCTGAAGGAAAATGAATGAATGACACCAGTTCACTGTAGTAAAATCTAAAGGAAACTACAGTTTACAACTAAATACAGTCTGTAGAATTTGTATATGTATATAGAGTGTAATACACCTTATACTTTAAGAAATCCTGCGTTATCTTAACCCAATGCTGGGTCAAAACAAACCCAAGAGTTAGGTTAAAAAATATATTTAAATGATATTTAAATAACCCAACATTGGGTTTGTCCATATTTGACCCAAGGGGCGAGGCAGTGGCGCAGTAGGTAGTGCTGTCGCCTCACAGCAAGAAGATCGCTGGGTCGCTGGATCGAACCTTCGGGTTTCCTCCAGGTGCTCCGGTTTCCCCCACAGTTCAAAGACATGCGGTACAGATGAATTGTGTTGGCTAAATTGTGCGTAGTGTATGAGTGTGTGTGTGAATGTGTGTGTGGATGTTTCCCAGAGATGGGTTGTGGCTGGAAGGGCATCCACTGTGTAAAAACCTGCTAGATAAGTTGGCGGTTCATGGTTCATGGCGACCCCGGATTAATAAAGGGACAAAGCCGACAAGAAAATGAATGATTGAATATTTGACCCCATGTTGTGTTAAAATGACCCGGCATTGTTTAGAGTCCACTAAGGTTGGTAGAATTTACTATGATGATGTTGATCCTGCAGGTCTGAATGATTCCCATGCAGTACAGTAGAGCTCCAGCATTAGTCACCAGGGTGGATCAACATTGCATCACGATCTTACTAATAAAGAGAAAGACACACACACACACACACACACATCTGCGATATGAGAAAGAGTTCTCAACACTGCCAAACACTTTACATGAGAGAAAAACAAAGCTTCAATGCTATAAACAGCAGTTCTGCTTGATGGTTGTAATGATTGGTCTTGGGTATAATGAGTTACCAAATATCTACTGACTGTAATTAGATTACTTTTCTGATTAAGTACTAAAGTGAGGGATTACTTTGGATTTTGAGGTTTTTTATTGACTTGTAATGTACTTGCCTGACATACATAAATGAAATAGTTCTGTGTGAATAAATTGACGAAAGAAGAGCATTTTGGTGGTGTTGTTATACAAATATAGTTGAGTCAGAATTATTAGCGCCCCTTTGATTTTTTTTTTTTTTAATTAAATATTTCCCAAATTATGTTTAACAGAGCAGGGAAATTTTCACAGTATGTCCGATAATATTATTTCTTCTGTAGAAAGTTTTATTTGTTTTATTTCGACTAGAATAAAAGCAGTTTTTAATTTTTTATGAACCATTTTAAGGTCAATATTATTAGCCTCTTTAAGCTATATTTTTTTTCGATAGTCTACAGAACAAACCATCATTATACAATACCTTGCCTATTTACCCTAACCTGCCTAGTTAACCTAATTAACCTAGTTAAGCCTTTAACCCTTGTATGGTGTTCGGGTCTGTGAGACCCGTTTTCAGTTTTTCTCAAAAGAAAAATTTAACAATGAATTATTTTTTCAACCTGAAATTCATTGGCTATGGCTTATTTTCTGTAAAGAACATAAATCCCAACAAATTTTCAACAACCGCATAAATGTACACACATTTACATTACATAGGTGTTTGGGTGCACTAGACCCAGGTCTAATAAAGGTCTTGAAGGTGTAGGTCCAGTGTTCCCACACTCTGTCCTCCTCCTTTCTGGTGCTGCTGTTTTCTTCATCCCTCCCGCACAAATTTGCAACAGTGTTAAAAATTCAACTATCAACACTGTCTGCTCTTACATTCCCAAACATTTTACCCTCTCTCTTGCGAGAACCAAGCTTTATTTTCTCATACCCTGTACCATCTGTGAATTAGGGGTATAGTACTATAAATAAGACTTTGCCAGTGTGGTTCCTTTTCACAACTGATCAAGATGGCCAAAAGATTATCTGCTGCGAGGGCCTTGCGATTTATTGTGGAAGAGAGAGGAGCTTCTGATGATGATGAACATGGTGGAAACAACACACACACAAAAAACAAATCTGTGGGTTTTATTTTTTACATAACATTAATAAAAATAAATAAATAGATAAAAATAAATAAAAAACGAGAAGCACATTAATTTATCAATATGATCTAACAAAGGTAAAGGGAAAAAATTAACCATGTTTGTTGTTTATATGGCTTGTAATTGGGATTAAGTAAACATTTGTTGAGTAATTTAACATAAAATTGTTTGATAGTGTTAGATTGGAATGCCAAAACCCGTCCACCAGACCCATAAACACTGGCTGAGTAACCAAAATACGAACACTACACAAGGGTTAAATGTCTCTTTAAGCTGTATAGAAGTGTCTTAAAAATATCTAGTCAAATATTATTTACTGTCATCATGACAAAGATAAAATAAATCAGTTATTAGAGATGAGTTATTAAAACTATGTTTAGAAATGAGCTGAAGAAATCTTCTCTCCGTTAAACAGAAATTAACAGGGGGGCTAATAATTCTGACTTCAACCGTATGTGTTGCAGAATAATTTTAGATTACATTTACTGTATCAAAACAACTGCAAACAAAATAGCTGGGTCATTCCAACCCAATTTTGGATGTAAC